ATAATTAGCTTTATAGTAATTATTTTTCTTATTATTAATATTATTACTAAGTATGCGGTTCATATTAAGCATAATTTCAATTTCTATTGGAGGATGTTGCGGATTAACAACGGAGAGATTATTAATTGTTATAAATTGCTATTTGTTTTGAAGAATCTAAGTATGGTACCTTTACCAAAACTCAAAGATCTTCACATTGACTTTCCCAATTAATCATTCGTGTTGCTGAAAATTTCTTAGAAACAGCAATGAGCACTCCCCCTCCGTCCTTTTGAAAATGGAAACCAGATTATACTTTCAGCTCACCATTCTCTCTTGTGCCTAGTTTTGCGTTGAAGTCTCCCATTAACACCGTATAGTGGCTTTTGGAGGAATGCATGGCTCTAGAGATATTCTCATACATTTCCTCCACCTCCTCATCGGGGTATGCCGAGGTTGGTGCGTAAACCTGTATGACGTTCAGCGAATACAGTTTGGTGATTCTGACTATAAGGTACGCAACCCTCGTCGACACACCCGCAATCTTTACAACGTTGTTAACGAGAGACTAGTTGACGATAAATCCGACACCTCCTTGGGACAGATGGTCGCCCTCCTGGTAATAGAACAAGTTGCCGGATTGGAGGATTACCGTGTCCTCCCGCTCTCTTCGGACCTTAGATAATCCTATAATATTCCAGAGCAACTTGTCTATCTCTTCTTCCAGCTCCAGGATCTTCTCGTCAGTCCTCAGGGTGCGTGCGTTTTAAGTTGCCAGGTCGAGTCTTCGTAAGTGGCAGCCGAACCTCCACCGGAGATTCTTAGCACCTCCTACCACGCCGTTACCATGGTCGCCACCGTAGCCAGGAATAGCGGGGCCGCCGAGGACTGGGGGCCGACTCTTAGTAACTTTATCCATTTGGGGGGTATATTGCCATAGTTGCCACGGTTAGCGAGCGGGTTGGCAACCGCAGTTTTTTATTGTGATATTGCCGTTATCAGGAAGATGCTTCTGCCCAACTGCTGACTGTTTCCCAGTGTCGCCATTTACGACACCCACGGGAAGATATGGGGCAGTGGATATTCTTAGCCGCCACTACACGGCACATCTTTACGCCAATATATTGTAAGTCTATGTCACTGACAAAGAGCATTAAAACTTTACGGGTTACTACTCAAAAAAATATACACAGTTACAGTTACTATAATCAATCATTGCTAAGCACAGAACACATTTGTCACTTTTGGCAGGCCGATAGACGATTGTAGCGGCAAACCTAAGAATGATACTTTATTCAAGGCCAAACCAGTCTCGCATCTTTGATGTTACGACACTTATATGTCGTTAGCTATAGCAACTAACGTGTTTCCTAAAGCGTTAACACACAGTGTCAATAATAGATAATCTTTTTGGTCATGTTCTTCATGACTGAAGGTCGCGTCCGTGAATAACCTTCCATTCTATTCGGTCCTTGGATTTTTGAATTGCGGTCGTAAGTGGCAACCAGCAGTTAGATGGTTGGCCGCGTGGTATATTGCCTCCCACCTTACCAACCAAAGTAATTGAGAATTCTCTGGTCACAGGTATTAGAGAGTCTGGTGTCAACACGAAGCTGTCGAAGGATTGACTTGTTGGTCATCTTCGCGGTCCATGGTATCCGAAGCATCCTTTTCCAACACCACCTTTCTAACGCATCGATCCTTTTCTTTTTTGCTGATCAAATCGTTCATGCTTCAGAACCATAAAGGAAGATGGAGAACACTAAAGTTCTGACAAGTCTCTTTTTGGTGACATTAGAGATCTTCCTGTTCTGAGAAATTCTCGTTAAACTGTTCATTGCACCTTTGGCTATTTGGATTCGTCTTGTTCACATGCTCCTCTGTCGGAAAGTAGCGATCCGAGGTACACAAACTCACTTGCAAATTCTAGGTCCAAAGTTTTCCAATCTTAGAGAGTTGACCGGTTCTGTCGATCAGCATAACTTTTGTTTCGGTCTTGTTAATACTACGTCCAGCCAGTCGACTCTCTACCTATAATTTGCTAAAGAGATGAGCGATTTCTTTTTCCGATGATGCAAAAAGTGTGGTGTCATCCGCAAATCTGAGGTTGCTGATCTTAACACCCCCGACTGAAATCCTTCCCTCCCATCCTTCTAGGGCCCTTCTCATTATGTATTGCCCGTAGATGTTAAACAAGATTGGAGACAGGATACATACTTGCCTTACTCCCTTTTCCACCTTAAATGTTCCAGAGATAACGTCATTGACTCTAACCATGTTCGCATTCTTGGTACTGGTTTGTAATCAATAGTATTAGATATTTAGTTACGCCCATTTCCCGGAGTATGTCCATAAACAGTCCCATCCTAAGCAGTCAAATACTTTAAAATAAGAAGTACATGATCACAGGTGTATTGAACTATTGGGCTTTTCTCAATTATTTGCCTCACGTTCACAATCTGTTCTCTTGTGCCTCGTCCTATCACAAATCCTGCCTGATTACTGGGTATTTGCCACTGTAGATAAGATTTTAATCCACTATTGAGTACATACTGCATTATCTTGCTCACATGAGATATCAGAGCCACCGTGCTATATTACTAATACCCACATATTCTCGTTGACCCTTTTTTGTGCAATGGGATTACTAACGATGTTTTACAATCAGTGGGCCAAATTATTGTATTCCATACGAGATTGCATAGAACCCACATTATTTTTGGTGCTTTAATTCTTCAGCAAAATGTTATCTCCTCAAGCTGCTTTATTGTGCTTTAGTTTACGTAGTGCACCTCTGATTTCAGACTCTAGAATCTCGGGGTCCTTATAATGGTCTTCCATTTCGCCTAGCGTCCGTACATATGGCATTGCGGGATCTACGTATAGGCTCTCGCAGTATGATCGCCACCTTTATGTCACTTGATCAATCTCGGTCAACAGTGTGGCTTCATCACTTTCGATGGCCCAGGCTCTTGTTTCTACTCCCGTGTTATATTTTTGTAAGGTTTTCGAGTTGTAGCCTGTACCGGTAAGTGAAATGTAAGGTGGCTCTTCACTAGATGAAATGAAGACCCAGTAAGATATACAGGAAATCGATGGACACAGTACAGGTGGCTAAGGACAGTGCTTTAAGGCATTCCTTGGAGGAAGAATATGTTCATACGAGTAACAGCCCTTTGCAAACCAAAATCGAGCTTGTAAAGGGCTGTAACCTGTAATGATAATGATAATTTAATTGTACAAATAATCTTTTTTCTTATAGGATAGGGGTGACAAACGAGCACACAGTCCACCTGATGGTAAGTGGTAGCTGTGGCCCATAGACATCTACATCTATCCTCGATTACGAATCAAAATGCAAATGCGTTGTTACCCGTGAGGACTAAGATAGAATGCCTTGTTTCCAGTAAAAAGGGTCTTCGATTCTCTACATTCACCATACGAAACACAGCAACGTTAAGCTGCTATTTTACGCTGGTATTCTGTGAGAGCGTGGTTCTTCCCCGGTCGAGCCGACCCATTCGTGCTTCAACTAAGCCCATAATATAGCTGTAGCAAGGCTCCACTACGTATCAAAAAATCTACAACATGTCTCCAAAAAAAAATTCGTTATACTTTTAAATTACATGAGATAACTGACGGGACTAACAGATAGCCCCTTTTTTGGTAGGGGGGTGGGGTGTGATCAAATTTTTATCTATTGTACATATTATGTAAACAATGCATGTAATATCATAAAGTAACATCACTCTTCTTCGGCGTGTAATAGCACGCAAGCACGCATTACTGGAAATGAACAACGATCACACTTATTGCCATCACACCACTAAACATTACAAAGCATTCCTGAACATGTAAACTATGTTATGTTTAAAAAATTAAAGGATACTTTAAAAATAATAATAATTTATTATCATCATCATCATACTGCTGCTGAACATAGGCATCCCCCAAGGAATGCCACAAATCACGGTCCTGGTCTTGTCTTACCAGGTCTTACCAGGTCGTCACTCCATCTTGTAGGGGGTCGCCCTACACTTCGCCTACCGGTACGAGGCTGCCACTCAAGAACCTTTCTTCCCCATCGGTTGTCGGTTCTTCGAGCTATATGGCCGGCCCACTGCCACTTCAGCTTACTAATCCTTTGGGCTATGTCGGTTACTCAGGTTCTACTGCGGATATCCTCATTTCTAAGTTTATCACGCAGAGAAACCCCGAGCGTAGCCCTCTCCATAGCTCGCTGTGCGACCTTGAGCTTCCTTATACGGCCAGCAGTGAAGGACCACGTCTCAGATCCGTAAGTCTTTACTGGCAACACGCACTGGTTGTAACACTATTATACACTATTTCGTTTAAGGTTTTGAGTTATGTCTAACGAGAAGATGTGTCGTAGTTTCCCGAACGCTGCCCAGCCGAGTTGAATCCGTCGATTGACCTCTCGGTCGAAGTTGGACTTACCTAGTCGGACTATTTGACCCAGGTAAACATACTCGTAGTGTTAATTTAATTAATTTATTAAGTAATGATCAATTTTTACTTCAAAATATCTATGCATTTTTTTATTAGTAGAAACGGTGAATGAAGTGGTAATACAAGTCTCAACATTTTATCCGCTAGGGCCTTAAGATACTTTTGTCACCAATGTCCACTAGATCAAACCAGGTTAAACTAACGTCAACATCTACCAAAAATTTCAGAATGACGAAACAACTTATTGTGAAAAATATCGTAATCGTAAACAAAATACATGTCATGGTTTAGGCTGTTTAGTCATCGTAGATGCAGAATTCTCAGGTTCGCAGCCTATGGCAGGCACCAGGCATAGATCCTTTAAAAAAAGCTACTGTCATCTGTCAATGTCAAGATGTCATAATATCTTGAAAATCAAACAAAATATTGATGTTTTGTTCAAGATTATTTTTAGTTTTTACTTTTAGTAGATTTTACTTTCAATTTTGAATGATTTAATAATATTATTTCTATTTTTAAACATTTTGATTTGTGTTAAATATATAATTATGATGACTGAGTCTACTAACGAACACATAGGAGGGCTCAAACAAAAGAAAGTTTTTAAAATAATAGTTTTAGGAGATTCAGGTGTAGGTAAGACGTGTTTAACATACCGCTTCTGCGAGGGTCAATTCCTCGATAAATCTGAAGCTACGATCGGTGTAGACTTTAGAGAAAGAACTGTTCGGATATGCAATGAAGATATAAAGGTAAAAACAATTGAGGGGCTTAGTTATTAGTTATCGCTTTTATCGTTTATTATTTAAACGCCAGTGCTTGGCTACTATCCCACATGACTATGCACTGAATAAGCTTAATAAAACCTCAACATTCTTGCCTTGAAGACTCCTACATTGTAATCTGAATGTAATTAAAAATTATTATGTTAAATTTTTGAATCAATATTATAACTTATAGTTAGACTTTATAAAATGCATTAAAATTGTAATTATTTTTTAATTGGGTGATTAAACTATATAAGTACAGGTGAACTGCTATGAAGATTTGAAATTCCTCTGATTTGTATTATGTTCATGCAATTAGAAAGGTAACAACAATAAATACCTAAGAAGAGACTCCTATGAGATCTCTTGTAGTAAATGTTATATCAACTGTACAAAAATTTGTATATTGTGAATATTATATGAAATTAATATAATGGTGTTTCGAGAATATCAACATGTTTAGTCTTGGCAGCACATCATGCCAGACATGGGTTTGAAAAGTTTTTGTATGGCCTTCAATTTAATTGTTTTGGGTCTGGGTGTTTGTCTAAGTACAATTTATGTTTAAACTGTATAAAATGTATCAAATAAAATTATGTAAACACCTCAATAATACAGGGAAAATCTAAGTTTGTTCACCACAATGCTTAAAAAAGGAAGTAAGAAGTTAAACCATACCTAGCACTACGGGTCAATCAGTCGGTATTAGTCATGATATAAAATTATTTTTCAGCTCCAACTGTGGGACACTGCTGGCCAAGAGAGATTCAGAAAATCAATGGTGCAACACTACTATAGAAATGTTCACGCAGTTGTGATAGTGTATGATGTCACTAAACCAGAAACATTCCATGTAAGCATCAGGATTTTTTTTATAGGATAGGGTGACAAACGAGCACACAATCCACCTGATGGTAAGTGGTTACTGTGACCTATATACATCTACATCTATCCTCAATAAAGACTCAAGATGCAGATGCGTTGTCACCCGTGAGAACTAAGATGGAATGCCTCTTTGCCAGTAAAAAGGGTCTCCAGTTCTCTATACTCACCATATGAAACAGCAGCGTTAAGCTGCTATTTTACATTGGTTTTCTGTGAGAGCGTGGTCCTTCCCCGGTTGTCCCCATTTGTGCTACAACTATACTACTAATATAGCTGCAGCATGGCTCCACCATGTAAAATATAAATATGTGTAATATAATATAATAGTAGTTTAGTTTACGACGGGCTGTTTTCCGCAACTGCACATCTATGCGCGTATTTTGCGTGTGGGCAGGAATAATATGCTTATTCAAGCCATGAGATCTCGCCAAAGAAGCTCAACAGTCCTTTGATATTGCCTGCAACTTCGGGGAGTGATCCCGGTGTGCCGAGATATTTAGCCCTGTACTTAGTGACCTCCGGACATTTTAATAGCATAGGCCGTCGTTTCTTCTTCCAACATACATGCCCTGCACAGGGGACTATCTGTAACACCTATAGTAAATAAATGCTTGTTAAAGTTGCCGTGTCCTGTGATAGCACTTGTTACTATCCTGATCTGTAGCTCGTTCAGTCTCATTAGAACTTTGGTTAAACAACTGTTTATTTCAGGCAGGGCCTCCCTAGTTTATCTACAGTCTACTAGATTTTTCCAAAGCTGAGCGTGTAGATTAGTGAAGTGTCTACGTACTAGTGAACGAACATTACCAAAGGGGATTGGTTCTGGCCCTATAGTGGCCAGAGCCGATCCTCTTCTGGCAAGTTCGTCTGCTGCATCGTTGCCTCTGGATCCACTGTGTCCCTTTATCCATTGCAGAGTCACATTGTTGTTTTTACATACCTCATTTAATCGTTGATGGCATTCATATATTAGTCCCGAGTTCACCACATTGCAACTCAGAGCTTGTAGTACCGCCCTACTGTCAGTCAGTATTCTGATGGGGAAGTCATTAACCTTGCTAGCATCTATTGCTATGGCCGCTTGAATGATACCCATACATTCCGCCTGAAAGACTGTGTTATAGGTCCCCAGCAGTGTGCATATGTGGATATTGAGGTCTTCAGAGAAAGTTCCAGAACCTACACCTTCATTTGTTTTAGAACCATCGGTGAAAACTCTAAGCTCTTTTGGGCTTAATCCTTCTAGCTGGCTGGTTTCATTTAATTGTATCTTATACTTCTTATCGAATACAAATTGTTTAGGAATCTTATCGTACTTGGCTTGTAGGATAGGAATTTTTGAGTGAATTCTATCAATTATGCCTATATGCGGGACACTATTCTTACTCCAAAGATTTAGGGTTTTGAGTCTGACGGCAGCTAAAGTCGCTTCTTGTTGTATATGTAGATGAAGCGGGGTTAGCTGCAACATCGCTTCTAAGGCTGCTGTTGGCGTAGTTCTTATGCAGCCTGTGGCAGCCATACATGCAAGTCTCTGGTAGCGCTGAAGCTTCTTTATAGTGGTGGCTTCATTTGTCTTGGTCCACCATACCACAGCGCTGTGATCATGGGCCGAATTAGTTTTGTCAGCCACAGTATGATTTTTGGCGTCAATCCCCATCTTTTGCCAATCATGTTTCTGCATTGCCAGAAAGTTATACTAGCTTTGTTGATTTTGTTTTCTATGTGTTTATTCCAGTTAAGTTTGCTGTCCAAGGTAAGACCTAAATATTTTACCTCAGAGGATAACTGTAGTTTTGTGCTGAAAAGATTCATTATTCATTCATTTATTCAGCATTCGTTTTTGTGTGAACATTACTAGAACCGTTTTATTTGGATTGACGGTTAAGTCGTATTCCCTACACCATCTCTCCACTATACGGAGAGCCGCCTGGGTCAGATCGCACACTATGCTTGCTGTCTTTCCAGAGACCAGTTTTGTCAGGTCATTAGCATAACCTACTGTGTAGAAGTGATTGGCATTTAATTTGCTGATGAGTTCATTAATGACCATATTCCACAGGAGAGGTGAGAGAATCCCACCCTGCGGGTAGCCTTTCTTAATTTGGATTGGTTGAGATTCACCAGCAATCTTTATTATTCGTGTACTGAGCATGTTTACTATCCAGTCAATCAGTGCCAGTTCAACTTTATGTCTACTGAGTGCACATTTTATGCTGGAGATGTTCGTTCTATCAAAAGCACCTTCTATATCAATGAAGGAACCTAGACATATTTCTTTGTTTTGGATGGCCCCTTCAATCTTTGTTATTACCTGAGACTGTAGGCGTGTTGCTTGTCGTGTAGTGGTAAGTTCATTAGCGCCGACCCCCTTAATTCCCTTTCACACATCCTCTCCAATGTCTTTAGGAGAAAGGATGTGAGGCTAATGGGCCTGTAGGATTTAAGGTCTGTTTAGTCGCTCTTACCTGGTTTTGGTATGAATGTGACGTTCACTTCCCTCCATCCCCTAGGATCATAATTAAGAGCCAGACAGGCTCTCATTATGGCAACAAGTCTGACTATTAGGGCTTTACCCCCCCATTGTAGGAGTGCCGGGAATATGCCGTCACGTCCTGCCGCCTTATAGGGGAGGAAACTGTGAATGGCCCAATGGATTTTGTCCATCGTTACCACTGTCTGTGCTAAATTCCAGTCTTTTGCTGTTGGTGTCAGTATGTCATCATGCCGGTTTGCCTCCTGAGTTACGCAGCAGCCTGGGAAGTGCATTTTAATTAGGATGCGTTGGGCTTTGTATTGTATGCTACTTCTCTAATCAGTGTAGTGTAACACAGGCTCGGCACGCACTTAACTAAACACGTCCACTCTCGCCCGAGGCTCTCGTGTAACTGATGCGGTGCACTCGAGACAGTGAATTATAGGCTTAGCTTTCCATTGACGTCCGTCGAGTTGGGTGTTGATACGCATTTTTACAAAAGTTACACTATTATAAGCACACACACAAAGTTTCAACACGCGGAAACGCGTAATTTTTGAGAAAAGAATTATTGAAAATCAATTATTCTTGCAATGTTTATGTCTAATCCTACCGTAAAACTGGCGCCATTTTGTAATGTCAATGTCGACGTCAATAGGGATGTCGATTCTTTCAGAAAAAGGTCGATTTTTAAATCGATTCAAATCGTAAGGTGATGTATCGGTTCCCAAAAAAATCCATTTCTAAAATATCTATATTTTTTTATGTTCCTATTTATAATGTAAATATAAACCCATTTTATGAAAAACAAGGAAGATACCATGATAAATGATCTCTTATTGAAATTTGTTTTATTTAACAGTACCTATTAGGGCAGATAACAAATAAAATAGGTTAGGTTCAACTTATGTCAAAGAACCGAACTGATTGACTCCGACTCCACCTGGTACGAGTCTGTCCTACCCCAGAGTGGTTTTATAGCGCCGGAGACGTAGCCGTCTCAAAATACATACAGAAATCCTTCTGAATCAGTCCCCTTATTTTTTTATGACGAAGGGAATTTTTTTCTCATCAAATGGATTTATATTTACATTATAAATGCAAACATGAAAAAAATATAGATATTTTAGAAATCGATTTTTTGGGAATCGATACATCAGCTTACAATTCGAATCTATTTAAAAACTCGATCTTTTTCGGAAAGAATCGACATCCCTACTGACAATAATAATAAAAAATGGCGTCAGTTTCATAGTAGGAGTTGACATAAATATTGCAAAAATATTTGATTTTAAATACTTTTCTCTCAAAAAGTGCATGTTTCCGCATATTGAAACTTTGTGTGTGTACTTATAAAAATGTAATCTTTCTGTAAAAATACGTATCAACACCAAACTCGACGGACGTCAATGGAAAGTTGGATCAATGGAATTATATATAAATGTATGTTTGTGTATTTGTGCATGGTAAATTATTAGTAAATAAAACAAATAACAATATTTACCGTACACTATATATATGCAAACACTACAGGCTTGATCCGGCGATGTTGAGTGACTACCGTCGGGTTTCTTTAGAGAGATGGATCCCGACGTGTTCTGTTTAGCTAGAATATTCCTTATCCTATTAGCTTGTTCGCAGGTTAAGCCATTAGCTTGTTGCCACAGAATTTACGCCACCCTGTCGAGCGTCGATACCTGATACATTTTTTGTATTCGGACTTAGCTTTCTTTTATTTCTTATATTCTTATCTTGGAAGAAGTGACAAGTGGTTGTGTGTATAACTGCTGTCGATGAATTGGAAAAAATAAAGTTTATTCATGTTATAAAAGTACAATAAATATATAGCGCAGGCTATAGATGTTTAGTGCTAGTGTTTTCTCAGTATAACTATAAAAATAAAGTGCAAAACTTTGAAAAACAAATTAATACAGTGAATTACGAACTTTTAAAATCTACCTTCATTTTATTATTGTTTTACATTTATTTTCCGGATCTATAAGTGAAAGCGAACTATAGACAATAGTGTTGCCATTACAAGAAATTATCTACTATTTTAGTAAAAAAAAAACAAAATGAGTCCAAAAACATTTAAATGTTCCAAATGTAGTAAAACCCCGGTACAGGAGTCACAACTTACTGAGAGCTTCTTATCATTATAAGAAGCTCTCAGTAAGTTGTGACTCCTGTAAGAGCATTTTATGTGGTTATTGTCATGGAATGTCACCAACTGAAGTAAGAGTGTTCGAGTTGAAGACAATATCTCGAGTGGTTTCTTTCTTATGTGTCGATTGTAAATCACTAATGGCGCTAATACCTAATATAATGAAACAACTGGAGGAACTTACTAAAGAAGTACACCACTTGCGATTACGTCAAAACATGCTTGTATAAGGAAGTTCCAATACAAGAATTGGCTGACCGTACTAAGAGAGCTAACAATATAATAATTTACGACGTGCCAGAATCAATCTCGGGTAAACCCTTACAAAGGCAGGAGCACGATAAAGAGGAGTGTAAGAAAATAATAACTTGTGTGAGCAAAAAAGTGAGCTGTGATAATGTGAAAGTATTCCGTCTTGGTGCACGTAAGTCTCAAGCTGGGGCTCCTCCTCGCCCCATTAAAGTGGTAATGAATTCTAAGAATGATGCTATTGAGATACTTCGTAACAAAACTAAACTGGAGAAACCATCAATTATTAAATCAGACCAAAATGCCATGCAACGTGAGTACTTGAAATACCTCCGTGATGAATTAGAGAAAAGTACCAATAATGGAGAACAAGGCTTGACTATCAAGTATATACAAGGGCAGCCTAAAATTATCTGTAAACAAGAGATAAAAAAGTAATTCAAATTCACCGACCCTCAATAGTAAATCATTTTAGCAAAGAAACGCGACCTTCTATATCTTCCGCACTCTTAACAATAACAATCTTATACACAAACATACAATCGATAACATCTAAACTGGATTTATTAATTGCAAGAATTGATCAACTGAAACGATCAATTATAGTCCTCGCAGAAACATGGCTAAAACCAAATATACCTGACTCGCTGATAAAAATACCGGGTTACGACTTATACAGAGACGGCCGTACTGATAAACGAAGTGGAGGAATTGCTATTTTTGTATTGAACAATATTACCTATATGACATCAAAGCGAAATAGTCAGTATAACACAAAGTATGACTCTTGGGAGTGTTTATAGGTAGACATTGAAGTAGGTGCTCAGAGAATACTGTTATGTGGACTATATAGGGGGCACGAATCAACTATCGATCATGACAACTTGCTTTTACAAGATTTAGAACTGGCTTCTCAATCAAACACAGTAATAATAATGGGTGATTTTAACTTTGGTGGAGTCAAGTGGCCACTTTCAAAATGTCAATTTTGGCCACTGCCAAAAGAAACCAATTTCTTGCAATGGTATAACAACAGCAATCTATACCAATTGGTAGATCAATATACGAGGTTTCGCCAGGGTCACCAGCCATCTACTTTAGACTTAATCTTGACAAATGATGAATCTTTGATAGTTGGTATCAGTTATGAGGCCGCAATTGGGAAAAGCGATCATTTATGTTTAGTATCTACTATACAGTTACAAACATAACTACAGAATAGGCAGCATTCTAAACCTAAAAAGAATTTTAATAAAGGAGATTACAACAAAATCAAAGAAAAACTTCACTCCGATTTAAAAAAAATAAAAGATTTACATTGCCCAGTTGAACAGTTTAGAATAGTGCATAAAACAATAACTAATGCCATAGACACACATGTTCCTCTTGTAAAAACATTTAATAAAGTAAATAAACCATGGATAAAGAATGACATATCTGAGTTAATAAGAGAGAAAAAAATACTTTGGAAGAGATATACCGTAACAGGGTCAGATAAAATATATAAGGAATACAGGAAGCTAAATAACAAACTGGGCAGTTTATGAGAATCAACTATTAGAAAGAACTAGGACCAAAGAAATTTTACTCGTACATCAGGCAGCAAATCACCTCAAAAGTTAGTACACCAAATATTTTACGGAACAGTAATGGGCTATCTGTGACACATCCTAAAGAAATAGCGGAAGTATTTGAGGATAATTTTTCTAACGTATTTGAAAGAGAACCACTAGGAGAATTTCCTGCTCTAGACCCAAACCTAAGAGCAACTGAAGCTATGGAGGACATCACGTTCACAGAATTCAAAGTACAAGCTGATATCAAAGAAATGAATATAGACTCTTCACCTGGCCCCGACGAAAGACCCGTACATATTTTAAAGAACTGCGGACTTGATAGTTACCTAGCATCAGTAATGCAAGAATCATACGATAAAGGAGTATTGCCTGATTTATGGAAAACGGCTTTAATGACTCCTGTTTACAAAAAGGGAAACAAATTAGATCCTGCAAATTATAGGCCGATAAGTTTAACTAGTGTGGTGTGCAAAGTCATGGAAAAGATAATAGTTAAGGCAGTTCCTTAGCAAACAGCATACGATCGGCAATCAGCAACATGGTTTTTATCCTTATAGACCAACGATATCCAACTTATTGTCATGTTTATCATCTTGGGTCACCAGTCAAAATGATCGAGAACCAATAGATGTTATATATCTGGATTACGAAAAAGATTTTGATAAAGTACCAATAGGCAGGCTTTTACACAAATTGGATTTTGTTGGTATTCGAGGGAAACTGTTAGCTTGGATTGAGGCTTTTCTACGACAAAGAACCTTCAGAGTAAGGATTGGCAATATATTCTCAGATGAAAAAGAAATACAAAGTGGTGTACCACAAGGTTCTGTACTGGGACCAGTATTGTTTATAGTGTTTACCTTTGAACTACCTAAAAGCTTGAGTTGTAATGTAAGTATGTTCGCTGATGACACGAAGATATTCGCAATCCCACTAGTGGACTTTGATCGCCTTCAAGCAGATCTAAATAAAATATTACATTAAATACAAGTAAATGCACAGTCCTCCATATAGGAAACCGAAACCCTCGTTTAAAATATAAAATCGATGAATACAGAAAGATTTAGGTGTGCATATAAGTAACGATCTAAAATGGGAACATCACATTACAGTGATAACTAAAAAAGCAAATAGTTTTATTTACCTTATTAGAAAAGCCTTCGGGCATCTAACACCAGAAATGATGCTAAAAATACATAAGACATACATTCGACCTATTTTGGAATATGCATTCCAAATCTGGAGCCACTCTTTCAAAAAGGATATTGAGTTACTGGAGAAGGTTCAACGCAGATTTACAAAGGTTCCCAGAGCATTGAAAAAGGAAAGGCTAAATAAACTTACACTAACAACTCTGAAAGATCGTAGACAACGAGGAGACTTCATCGAAACTTATAAAATTATACATGGACACTACGATCTAGAAAATTTTGACAAAGATTTGGTCCAATACTCAAAAAACACACATCTAAGGGGATATCACTTCAAATTAACCAAAGCCATGTCGAATAATAACCCACACAAGCACTTTTTTAGCCAAAGAGTGGTCGAAACATGGAATAAGCTGCCATCAGAAGTGATATCTGGCACAAACTGTTAACCAATTCAAGAACAGATTGGATAAACAACTAAAATAGAATAATCACAAATTCGAAAATAGGAGTTGTTGCAACTGCTGGCCTGTTAAATAATAATAATAATATAATATAGTAGCCAGTTTTCATCCATTGGTATTCATGGCCCTATTTAGGGATTTTCTTACCTTCTTACGTTTTCTATCTAGTTCTTTACCCCACCACGGTTGCTTTACCTCAGCATACCTTGGTGGAGTGATTTCTGGACATGATTCATGGTAGCTATCTATCATGGCTTTAGTAACAGCTGCTACCTGTTCTTCTATATAATATAATATAAAGATGTGTGTTTTATTACAACATCATTTAAGACATTTAAAAAAAAAACATGGTTTGTGGTTACAACATGAAAGAATTTATCACTGCATATCATGTGTAAAGTGTATCAGGTGTATTATAAAGTGAAAAATGCCAGAAAGTTATCATAGATTTGATAGATGGTGGAACCAAGACAATATGGCGCAGCATCTAATGTGCGAGACGTCTGGTACAATGATTGTCAATCCAATAGTGTTGAATATGAAAAACCCACTGTCTTCACATGGCAGTTCCAAATTAAGTTATAATATACAGACTATAAAAATAAGCAGGGCTGAATGAAGTCATGTAGAGAGTAGAGTGAGTGTTGGACCTCTCTCAAACTTTTTCAAACTTCCTATATCAAGTAAAAGTGCTTATTTATGGCTTAAGACACATGGGGCCCATAGGCAGTTGCCTTCTTTCTCTTTACCTTAAACCGGCCCTGAGAATAGGACTATCAATTTCACTTCACAAGCACACTAAGTTCAAATACGATGAGTAAATAATCAAATTAAAATTACATTCCCATTCCTGTTTTGCCAGCCTTAATATTTTAACAAAAGCAAAATATTTTACAACAGATCATTTACGTAAAATAACATTTTAAACAACTACCAATTTGACTTTACAAAAGTTAGATTCACAGATATAAAACTAGTGTTTTACAAACCTGTTAAGAGCATCAAGACATTGAAACAGAAACAGAAACTTTTTTATTCAATATAGATTATAAATAATACTTATTGAAAATCACTCTTTTGTTTAATTACCACTGGTTTTTTGTCATTGATAAGAGCTTTAAGCAAGCCTAAATTGATTAAAAAGTTTTGTATTTTTATATTGGAATAAATATTTATTACAATTTAAATCAATATTAATTTCATTGTGACTATCTTTTGATGTATTTTCCTTAAAATAAGTAACGAAATTATCTTAAAATGACAGCGTGCCTCGAAACTGACACAAAAATTGACGCTTAGGTTTAGGAATTAAAGTTGTGAGTAAATCCAATTATTCTGTGCACACAGTAATTAGTTCATTTCTCTGAGTTACCATTACAGCCTATTAAAGTCCACTGCCAAATTTAGGCCTCCCCCATAAATTGCCGCATAGGGGGATATTTGCCATAGGTGCCACGCTTGGCATGCGGGTTGACAACTGCAGTTATTTATTTTTAGTCGTTATTAGAAAGACGCATTTGGCCATCTTTGTTTCCTTCTGTTGCCTCTTTATAACACCCATGGGATGATATGTCGAGATTCTGTGATGTTAATGCTGTTAGCCTATGCAGCTTTTACGGCTTCATCGGACTCACTGGGATGATATGGAGTAGTGGATATTTCTACACTGCCCCTACACGCTACTCTGAGGTACATTTCTTCTTATCTTTGGCAGTCGATAGCAAGCTGGATGCAAGAGGTGGAGTCCCACGGGCTATCCGGGTCGCCTCGCGTGCTGGTGGGCAACAAATGCGACTGCGGCACTCCCGAGTCGCGTCTCGCAACCGCGTATGCGCAGCGGTTGGCGGACAAACACGGCATGCCGGTGAGCTATACATGTTACATCTACTAACTGGTAACTAATTAGTAGTTATATTTTAGTAAAATCACAATTATTTTGTAATAGAAATAACGCAATCTGCCTTAAAATTTAGTTGTAAATCGCGAAGCCTGTTGATGTAACATTGTTTTACTTAATAATGGAGAATACTGCATGACTATGATATAGTTTATTATTATTATTTAACAAGCCAGCAGTTGAGACAACAGGTATAAGCCCGTATCCTATTTTCAAATGTGTAATTACTCTATTTTAATTGTTTATCTAATCTGTTCTTGAATTAGTTAAAAATTCGTGCAGATATCAATTCTGACGACAGCTTATTCCATGCTTCAATCACTCTTTGGCTAAAAAAGTGTTTATGTGGATTATTATGTGACACGGCTTTAGTTAATTTGTAGTGATGTTCCCTAAGACGTGTGTTGTTTGAGTACTAGAATATTTGTCAAATTTTCTCGGCGGTTAGCACGAAGAAAAGTGGCAAGATTACTTATTATTTGAAGCCCACTACCAGCCTTTTCAATTGACCGCATGAAACGAAGAGCGGCTCAAATCGTCGACGCTAGAGTCCCTTCTGATCAACTTATTCCACTGGACTTGCGAAACGACATTGCATATCTTTGCTTTTTTAACGTGTTTATCACGAATAATTAATCGATCGAATTAGATCGAGTTTCATCACTGTACACTGAACATCTTTCATAATTGAATCCACATCATCTCGATAGTTCGTAATGGTCAGTTAGGGGGCGAGCACGCATGCTAATTTGCCTCCTCTATAGAAAAAGCTTGAATAGAAATATTAATATTTACTTAGACATGCAAGGATCGATGAACCTAAAACTATGATCAATGGACCTAAATATATTAAACACCCTGATTTAAAATCCCATTTAGTATTAATGCAATAAGAAAACATTTTAGTCATTCATTTTAGTTTTTATCTGCTTATTAATCTCTTTCAGTTGTTTGAGACATCTGCTCTCTTGGACTCTGAATATGATAACGTGGAATCCATATTTATGACGTTAGCGCACAAACTGTATTCCAAACAGCCGTTGAGAGTCATCAGTGTTGAGGTAAGCTTTTTTTTTTTTATAAAATAGAAGTGACAAACTACCTTGCTGTTGTAAAGAACTTCAAACAAAGAAGGCACATATGTGTTATCACCTTTGAGGACAAGATATAACGCTTCACAGCCTGTGAGCTTCTCCTACCTACCTAGTTCCTACCTAGGCAGAGAAGAAGTCTTACTAGGTACAGACAACCATTCATTTCCGAGAGGACTTTTCAGCAAAGAAGGTTTTAGCGCGATGCTGCAACGTGTGTTGGCGGGCTTCATAAAATATCCTCGAAATATATTCAAAAAGATGTTCCCTTTCATCGCCAAGTACCTAGTAAACTGGTAATTAAAATTGCGATAAACTATTGGTGTCGATGAGAATCGAGGAGCGCCTAGTCCCTCAACTACCATAGCTCTTAAGCTAGCAGGTAACATAGTAAAAAATTGATTTGGCTCTATATTATAAATGGTGCCTGATATAAAGGCCCTCTTATACTGTAGGCACTTAGCGTATCCCCAGCCGCTGCGTATTAACGTCGCGATCGTGTCTAAGAATGTTGTACATTTTTATAGCTATGATAATATTTGCTAGAGAGCTTGGCATACAATTTACATGTCAACTCTATCTTCGAACTCAACCGGACATCAATTGTGTCGAAGTTGACTATTATTTTTTTTTTTTTTGTGTAATTCCTGTCACACTCCACCGTGTTAACGACATAATTAAATCAATTCCGTACTTTCGTACTGCATGTCTTGGCCCTACCGATGATTCGAAATATATTAAAAAAACATAGGGCAGGAGTTCGTTAATACGTCAGCTCGAATGGAGAAGAACCACTCTCTCACAGAACACCAGCATAAAATAGCAGCTTAATACTGATCTTTCGTAACGTGAGTATAGAGAACTAGAGACCCTATTTACTGGAAACGAGGCATTCCATCTTAGTCTCTATAAATATAATGTATTAGGGGTATCAACCATCTACTTTTTGATTCTTAATTGATGATAGAATCTCTATCGGATATCGGATCTACTTGAACCTATACCTATAGGAAGATTGTGTGCTCGTTTGTCACCTTTATTCTATTTTTTTTAACTTACCAACCTGTACCCGGTGCACCCAGCTAGTTCAGTGGGACGATACTCCAGCGACGAGTGACTAGTGGCATAAAAGCCATCGAAATAATTTTAAATCTAAATTCCAGATAATGCACTTAAAGCCTTCTGCCCAGTATACTAAGCTTTGAGAACTATTATATCCAGTTTTGGACCTAAAAAGGCTAAAGAAGGCAATGCAAAATCGTCATTATGTGGCAGTTCATTGCTCACTTAGATTGACTGCCGGCTTCTCACTCAACTTACGATTTTCAAGCCTTAATTCTGTAAACGTTCTAAAATATACTTAAGTTTACATTTTCTAGGGAGAGCCAGGATATGGAGTAGTGACGTTACCACGTCAGAGACGACCACCAAAAAGCTCCGGGACTGACAAGTGCCTGTGCAGCTAGAGGCAGTTCATACTCCAAACGAGGGTTCACTCATGTGGTATAGTCCCAATTAAAGCAAACACCCTGTCCTAGAAATATTAATGACAACGTCTTGTGTGTTACACCTTGAAGTTGATTGTTCATAATGATTCTGGAGAAATGTAGGTGTTATAATAATTAAAAGAGCTTATCTCTACAATTAAACAAAAACAGAGATTAAGTTACAAAGTGTTTTGAAGTTAGTTTAATTTACAAGCTCTAGTAAGGTTAAAAACAAAGTAACAATAGAATGGTTAAAATTAAAATTGTCGGAGTCACGTTCAAAATTGTTAATACATGCATTTAACAAAGAAAACTATTTTTTTTAATATTTAGAGATTGCCCTTGCCATTATTATAAAAAGCGACATTTAAAAACTAAATTCGTAACTTGTTAATATATGTTTGTGTTTGTATTACTTCTAGAAAGTGGTTTTAATAAAGAATACAAATATATTTGTGTAAAATAAACGAGACTACAATAGTTATGACCTAGTAAACATTAATTTATATAAATTACTCTCTTGTTGTGGCAAGTCATCTTTAAGTGATAATTCTCATATAGCAATCCTTTGTCATTGTCCATAAACATTGAGTTATGATGTACTACGTACATACTAGACATGGGACGAGTACTCGGTTTGGATTCGGTACTCGGCGGATTCGGCATTTTTTTTTGGGTTCGGTCGAGTATTAACGGCCGAGTACCGAGTACTTGGCCTTAATTATATTCCAGACAAAAATAAAGACAAAAAGCCAGTTTTTAAAACATCAGGAACACGATAAGCAGCAGAAATATTTAGAACGTACATAAGAAACTATAATAGAAATTATTATTACTAATATTTAAAATCTATAAGAGGAAGATTGTGATGCAAAAACACTAGTATTTCCGCCCTATTTGAGTCTAGTTTGTAAGGAAAATAACCGCCGGCCGCCCGCTACCGCGTTTTTTACAAAGCCGAGTATTCGTCAGAGTACTCGGCCCAATCTAGGCCGAGTACCCGGTGGCCGAGTACTCGGCGAATCACTACTCGTTCCATGTCTAGTACATACATTATAACTCAATGTCCATGAATGATAATTTATTCAATTTATTTAAAAAGCTTTATTTATTCCATATCTAAATTACAAACCAAATGTAGTGTTAGTAAAGTATGTAAGTTATAATCATTTTTTTCTCTTTTTTTTTCCAATCATAGTATATGTTTCTTGCTTCTATTTTAATTCGTTTTGTTACTTTTAGATGGATCCCTTTTGGGTAAAAACCTGCTCCAAACCATACCATTTTTTTTTAATTTTTTCAAATGCTATTGTTCAAATGTGTGGCATATCAAATGTTTCAAATATTTGGCTGTGTGTTTCTCTAATTATTGGTTGAATAATACTTTAATTATCCATTATAATTATTAATTATACCACAGATTACATTCATTTGAAACAGTTATCGTTTCGATTCCACAGTTCATACAATGCTATATCTGCATTCGTATGTCTCCAGACTAACTGAGGCTACTAAAGTGATCATATCACGATTCAGTACAGTGACCCTAGCGTCAAATGCCTATAGTCAAACCTTTTTTGGATAAAAAGTAATCTATAAAATATTGTCATGGAGTAAAAGAGTTTAAACGAATGTTTTATTATCCCGTTTTAAAAATAATCCTGCAAAATATTTGTTCGTCGTACATTTTATGGTATGCCTGCCGATTTTATAATTTTCAACATCTAGTTCAAAGCGAGGATTTAATCTCGTATTACGCATTAAAGAAAACTATTTCCAGTGTACCCTGTAAATTATTTTATGTATTTCCGTTTATGCATTTTTCTTTTTAAAGCTAAGTTCATATGACCGCGCGGTACAAGATCAAAGTAAATGGCGATTATCGTTTACATCACCCGCTCGCTCAGAGCCGCGCGCAAGGTTTTGAACCGCGAGTCACCGCGGGTTACCGCGCGGTTCAAGTTCTACGCACCTGTAACGACCTGTTCACTGTTCAGTTGATCCGCGCGAGAGATCCGTCCGAGACGGACGGACGCATAGATGCAGGAAAAATTATGCCACCGTACCGTATAACTGCCGCGCGTATATATGCCGTCATGTGAATGCTCCAACCGCGCGGCGACTCACGGTTTCGCGCGGTCATATAAACTTAGCCTAAATAAGTATTTAAAATACGAGAAATATCAAATAAGACTGTTTGTCACCTTATGTAGCCCATGAGATTTAAATATTATAGTATACACCTTAGATTATGTTAATTGATTAGTTTAATAGTGAATTTGTATTTTGAAAAATGTATCATGTTATAGATAAACTTTTTTGTGTACAAAGGCATATCTTATGAAAGATATGTTTTTTTTTTGACGAATGATCTCATTTTAACATCCAATTGATGAATAGAATATTATGTTTGTTGAAAAGAAAAACTTATAATGGCCCCTCTACACTACTCGCGAAGTTAATCGAAGTTGGACGAGGAGAATAGTGTAAAGAAGTACTTCGATTCGCTTCGTGCAACCTCGCTTCGCCTCTGGCGACTTCCAATCGCTGTCAGTTTTTTGCACCCGAGTCATAGGAGTTCGCGAGGTATCCCGAAGCTACACGAAGCGTCTCACTACACTACTCGGCGTAAGCCAGTTAGCGCATTGGCGATTACCTACAGCAGCTACCTCTTGAACATTATTCATGTTATTAGGGTACGGGCGACTAAAGGCGACTGAGCTAGTGTAGTAACGTTCTTCGAACTGCGATTGACTTTGACGAGTACTTCGTCGAGATAACTTCGCGAGTAGTGTAGAGGAGGCATAAGAATTGTGCAATATCTCATCTCAGTATCGAGATTTCAATACATTTTGGACTCTGAATAAAGTCTGAAGAACTGTAAATGTGTTTTGTTATGTTGTTTATTTTGATCTTGTAACGTACAAGAATATTTTAAGACAAAATAAAAAAATTATGCAATTTTCAATAGACTCATAGTAACATCATTATATATATATAAAATCGTAAGAATTGTAAGCAATAGGGTCACTTTTGTGGGCATAATCGATTATTATGAAATGCAGGGGAAATAATAATAAACTATTATGTGTGTAGCGTGTAGTGGCTGAGTAAGAATATCCACTACCTACACAATATCGTTGCGTGGGTCTCGTGGATAGTGACAGAGGGAAACAAACCAGGAGATGGGCAGCAGCGTCTTCTTAATAACATCAAAAAGGAAAAAAACTGCGGTTGCCAACCCGCCTACCAAACGTGGCAACTGTGGCAAATTATGAGGTTATCTATGGTGTGAGTCTTATATCATGCAGTTAACTTCGATAGGCTGCAAGGGGTTTTAAATGGGTTGTATGGAAACCGATTATTATTTATAATTGTGTTATTAACTTTTTGAGTGAGGATGATGTCGTATGTTGGATTAGTATGTTAGCAGGTTATTTCGTAGACCTTTAATTTTTAAATAAAAACGTTTTCATTTGTATGGTCATCCTCCAAAAAATGATTTCTTCACATCGGATATCAACTGCCTCTAGGATCACTTCGATAGAGCAGATTGTTTATCAAAGAAACAAGGATAAATCCCAAAAAAATAAACAAAATTCTATGAAAATGCTTAGGCTGCTGTCACACTAGCGTATAATAATAATAATAATAATAACTTTATTTAAAAAAAAAAACTTTAAACATGTAGTACATACAGAAAAAAAATGTTTTACATGAAATAATAAAAATTAGGTAAAAATACTAATGGGGTTGACGTTCTGTTCTTCTTGCTAGACTATTAAATAGTCTGTATTAAGGAGATTCAGTCCCAATAATGCTGCTTACAGCAAGTGTCACAAAGAAATACTTAATAAGCTGTCATACCAGTTGACTTAATACAAAGTACTCTCTACGATCTTCTGTTTTGTATATTTAGTTAGAATTACCTTAGTTATAATATTACTGATAAACTGATTTTTTTTTAATTCAATTAACTTAGTTATGTATAGCTGTAGAACCCGCACACTGTTGTTGTAACCATATAAAACAATTATTGTATTATTTTTACAAGCCAAGAGACTAAGAAAGTGTTATTTTTTTTTAATATTTAATATTATTTAAGTTAATTTATTAAGTAAAACATTATTTATATTAGTTATAGTTGATTCTAAGTTAAACAGTTGAACATTCAAGTTTATTAATTGAATTTATTAAAGTGGGGTATTAATGAATACAGGTGTGAGTGACAAGTCTTCATATACACCTTTATTATAAAAATAATATCTTATGAGCTTACATTCAGGCTTGCCAACCGTTCTGCGAGCGCCACGTCCCGTTTCTAGACCATTAGCGGATGCTTTCAGCGAGAGATGTGTGTGGGACGTTTTATTAATTAGGGCTAATCATTTTACGCTCACCAGATGTCGCTACTTGAGTGAGGTTAACTTATTTATTATATGATGTAGTTATAATTAAGAAATTACGTTTTAAATAAAAGTTTATCCGGTTCTAGAGGGTTAAATACACAAAATAATGCATCAGTGGTTTGCTTTAAATTTTTTTGTGCCAATTTTTTCAACCATTTATTTATATTTTTCTACTTTTAGGCATATCCGTAGTTGAGTTTATCTATTTTTTATCTAATTAATATAAAATATAACGAATATTTCAGAAATAAAAATTAACCTCTTGCATTTTCCGAACAAATTAACTTCTCCCGCAATGAAATCTGTCAAGTATTTCACCTCATTCATCACTGGTGCTGTACCGGTGGCAAAAGAAAATGGATATCATGAATTTCATTGTAATGAATTTGTCCCGTGTCATTGTCCCGTTTTATTGTACGTACCACTAAATTTCGGGCAGAAATATCTAGAAGTGCACGCACTTTTGTTTCAGTTATGGCCAAAAACTCAAACACTACTCATTTTTAAGATGTCGTTGTGGTGATGTCACAGTCACCTTGACTATTTGAAGTGATAGAGACAGCACGAGAC